ATAAAATAAAAATTTCACTAGGTCCGTTACACACATTAAATTTAAAAAACAAACATTGCATGTCCGTTTGAGGATTCTACAACTCAGTTGTCAGAGCATGAGATTACTTGCTTTTGGTTTGTTTAATATGAGTGAGATTTGGATCATTTTATTTAGTTATATTTACAGTACATGAAGTACTACTGAAATTATTTTCAGATTAGACAAATAGATTTGTTAATTCCGTGGGTGGAAATAAATAACTTTAGGGTTAGGATTAGGATTCACCTGATGACACCAACCTAATGAGCCTAATGGCTCAATCTGAAGCCATTCTATGGGCCTGATAGCCGCTTATGATGGCCATTTATTGGGATTATTTCACCCGAAGCATGGCTGCATACACCGCCTTAATATATACTGTTTAAAAGAAGACTGAATCAACATGGAGAAGAACCCCATGAGATGATCCACAGGTTCTATACATCAACATTTTTATCTTTTATTTCCACCTGCTGCCAGATGATTTCACCTACATACATACATGGTTCCACTACATTCAAGAAATAATCCTGTAATATCAAAACCATTTTGATGTATATTATGACATAGGGACCCTTGATGGGAATACAGTTGTCATGAGACGGTATTTGTGTTTTTAAATGTCTTGAAAATTATATTCTATATATTGTTGTATTAGGTAGTATTTTATTTGTAAATTTGATTTATTCTTTTTTTTGATGCAACCAAATATTTTGATCAGGAATTAAGAATTTGTTTCCTTTTTTGAAGACAATAAGTAAAAGATTTACTGATGATTAGAAAGCTTAATTTTTCTGTCCTGTCTTTTTTTTAGGGTGGCTACAGAGATGAGTGCAAATTCAAGGAGAATCTCCTGGCCAACAATTACAATGTCTACGAATCAGCCGCCCATCCTGGAATGTATATCGCTCTCAGCAAGATTGGGAAAACCAAAAGAGGCAACCGCGTGACACCCACAATGACTATGACACATTTCCTTCCAAGGACATAGTTGTTTTTTAACAAACCTCAATGGCAGAGGACATGCCAAAGAACTGTGTGGTTCCTGCTTGAGGTTCTCTACAATCCATAATATACAAGGACATGTAGCACTCTGTGAATAATTAAAGATATTTGCTTTATTTGTCTTTGGCCCACCAGAGTGAGACTCTTGATAATAAGTGGATGAAAAGGATGACTTTTCAAAGGATTTTGTTATGCGAGTCCCAACAAGGCACTGCTATGCTTTAACACATACTTTTGTGACATGCTTTTAAAGGAACATGACATGGGTGGAATATAAAAGAAAGGTGTGAAATCTTTGCTTCAGTGGAGTTGGGTTCTAATGATGTTCTGAGTGAAAAAAGCTTTTCTGGTTCTACGTCCAGGGAGTTAAAAGCATAGCGACTTTGAATGGGAGCTACTTCACAATAAAGAATTTAAAAATGAAGAAAAGTGTTGTTTACCAATCAATTCATTTTATTTCTATAGTGCCGATTCACAACACATGTCATCTCAGGTCACTTTCCAGTTCACCAGATCAT